ATAAGCCCTATATACCTCACTCTTCTGATGCATCAGGCCGCATGATACTCTGGTACCCTCACTCCTGAGAGAGCCAAGGGGAGGCACATTAAGAAAGATGGCCCTGAAAAGGCCACCAACATCCCCCTCAGAAAAGGTTGCTATAAAGATGTGAGGGGGATGTGGGGTTCCCTGTTAATTATGTACAGACTGTATAAGCAATGACTCACTGGGTCCATATGGAAAGACTTTTCAAGGGGTGATTTTTACAGCTGTCCCTTTAATGTTGACATTTCTATAGGGAAAAAGGAAACACAAGGGGACAAAAGGGTGTGCAGTCTGGGCAACTGCACTGGGGTTTTACAAGATGGAGTTAGGGGTATTCTCTCTGGCCCTAGTCTAGCTTGGCGACCTTGAATACCAAGACAGGAAAATAGCAATGATCCCGCACAAAGAGGTGCCACCAAAGGGGTTGGCCCCCTGAGGAGTCCTCCTCCACACTGCAACAGAGTTATCTTCCTCTTAAGGACCTTCCCTAGCTCCCTATTTCCCATATGATGAAGTCTGAATTCCATGGCAAACCTTTCAAGACCCTTCACCATCTGGCCCCTAATATATTTGCAGCTTCCTTCTTGGGCACATTCTTTTCCCTCCCCACCCCAAATCATGTATCCTGTGCCAAGATGCTCTACCTTTTGTTCTTTTGTTGATCATGAGCCATACTCTTTATTCTCCACCTGGAAAATATCCTGGCTCATTTTTTAAAGCCAAGCTCAAATGTCACTGTGGGTCTTCCTCATACAGATAGAATTAATCACCCTCTCCTCGGTGCCTCCAAACACATCTTTTATCCATCTCTGGTCAACTCTTCTGCCAGTGAGGTACAGATTTGTTCTTCACCTAAGCCCCGCAGGGGAAGGCAACATGAATAATTCATCTCAAATTATCCAGAGCTTATGATGGTGTCTGATGGAATAAATGGAGTGGCCCTAGACCAGATCCTGGGGTTGGAGGATTCCTCTTTAGCCTCAAGCCTTGCTTCTCTGAAACCCATCTTTCTTCCACCCACAAAGGGATCTACTGCTTGTAAGTCCTGTTCGCTTTGCCCCTGACCAGAAATAGCTTACACTGTTGCAGGATTTCTCTGCCTTTAGTGTCCACGGTTCATGGTCGCGCCACTTGGAAGAATGAAGAGAGAAAAGACAAAGAGTGGTGGGCAGCAAAGCAAAGTTTATTGAGCAAGAGTACAAAGCTCCCAGAGACAGAGGGGACCCAAGAGGGTTGCCCTTGGAGTTTCTAAGTTGAGGGGGTTTTATGAACTCTTTTGCGGAACTATCTTAAGCAATCAGGGTGTACTGAGTTGGGCCAATCAGGGCTTTGGTCACGTATCTGTCCACGCATTAGGTTAATGTCCACATGCTGATGGTCTTCTTTTGCTGACATCTGAGAGCTTATGTCTTAACTGCCCCTTTGCCGTGATAGTGACAAATGCTTTGTGGTTAAGAGTCTTATTTTAGGACATTTTGCAGAAGTCATTTCTGCAAAGGCTGCAAAGCAGAATGCTAGTGCGGTCCTGTCTAAGCTGCAAAACAGGATCTTAGTGCTGTTTTATCTTAGTGTCCTGACTCCATACTTTCTTGTTGAGGACCCTGACCCTGACTACCTCACTGTCCAACTAACTCCTAACAGCACATCTCCTTTTTATTCTATTCAATAGATTGTATTTGTATCAGTGTATGTCTTTTCCATGAGCTTTTGCATTTTAACAATGATCAAAGCCTACCACCAAAACTTAATGTGGCATCTACAGATGGGTTGGGGGGTGTCCACAAATCCCCTAAAAATGTTTGCCAAATTGTCTACCCATCTTTCAAGGGGAGGGGCCTGTAACTTTCATTATATTGTTTGAGTAGATGAGAACCCCCCAAACAGTTGAGATCCATAGAGCTAAAGGAATGAAGCTTTAAAGGGAAGCGTAGCATGGAGCAGGCCTTTAGCACATCCCCAGAACCATATCACACACCTGGCACCTGCTTTGTTGCAGAATAAAGACTCTGGTTTTCTCAAGAGAGGCTTAATCTGTCCTGAGAACAAGAGCAGCCCGAGGTTGGGAGAAGGTGCGCCTTTGTGCATTTTCTCCTGCCTGGAGATGTGCACCTTCTTGCACCTAAGGTCGAGCAGAGAAAGTTCCCTGTCCCTTCAGCAGTCCCCAGCAGCATCTCTCCAGCCATCCTTTGTCCACTGACACGCTCAAATCTTTCCACATGACAGCTCCTCAAATATTCGAAGACCGTCCCCTAACCTTCATGCGACTGCTCCCTTTTCTAGGTTCTCTTCCACACTTCTTTAAGACGTGGTTTCCATCATCCTGGACATTCTACTTGAGGTTTTTTCTTAAAATATAACAGCCCAGACATGGCCCGACTGTTGTCCTATGGGCTACATTTCCGTCCATGCAGCCCAAGATGGCCTCTGAGCTCACAGTACATTGCATGGAGCCCAGTGTCTCCCGGGGTCCCTGGACCTACTTCCTACATCTTTGTAATAATTCCATTTGCTTTCCAGTTTCAGAAACTCAATAACAACTTCTTCATCAATTGTATTTTTTTAAATATAAATGCATTTTAGGTGTTTTGGAGGTGAATGCCCATTTTTCCATTCTTCCAAGAGGAACAGGTTTCACCCAAGGGACATGGCATTGGACTGAGAGTTCTAAGTGGGCAGACAAAGGCGCAGCTCCGAGTGATTCTCTGTACCACCTCTTGGCACACCGCATATGCGGCTTGTATGTTTAGTTGCTCCTGGCCAGTAGGCTCTGCCTTCCCAGCCAGCTTGTAAAATGGATTATAAATTCCTTGAGGGCCAAGAGCCTCTATCTTAACCTATTTGTATCCCCAGTGTTTATCCCAGTATTAAATGCCCATATAGCATCCATCCCAGTGTCTTATTATTTCTACTTCCTTAATGTTACTTGAGTCCCTCACCCTCCACTGCCACCATCCTAGTTCTAGTCACCTTCATCTCTCCCCTAGACCTGCCGTAGTCCTCTGACCAGTCTGCTTTGGCTCAGTAGCCGTGCAGCTTTAAAAACTCTGATTAGATACTCAAACTCCCCTTAAAACAGCATTAATTAAAAGAATTACCCAGAGTGGTCCCTGTGCCTCAAGCACAAGCATGAGGAGAAAGCACTAAATCATGACCTGTGGAAAGGCCTAGCGAAGACAAGAGCCTTTGGGTCCAGAGTCACCTCCACTGAGAAGCCATTCCAGATCATCCCAGGTGGAAGTGACCTCTGCCCACTTTGTGACCCAGGTTGCTCTGAAGAGACACTTAAGGGGAAAACTGCATACATTTTTGCATTTTTTAACATGATTCTTTCCCTGTTGGATTAGAAGCCCCTGGTGGACAGGCCCAGGTGTTGTCTTTGGGCAAAGCCTGGGGGACTGCCTGAGCAGAGTAGGCCGTCAATCAGGGCCTCTGGACTGACCGACCAAAGAAATGAATGATTCGTGTAAAAGGAATGTTCTCCATTCCAGTGGAGCTTGCCTAGGAGACTATACTGAGTGCCATTCTCCTCCTCAATTGGTGCTGAGATGCTAAAGCTGTGAGAGGAGCTTCACCTTGGAGGGTCCCAGGACGCAGACCACGCAGGGTCTAACTGAAGACTCTTCTCTGCCCGTGAGTGGTGGGACTGCTGAACGAATGATGTGCAGACTGTGACTCAGCCCTTCCGGGACGGAGAGCCACCTTCTAACACATGGCCACCTGACCTTCCTCCTCATGGACCTACTCAGTGAAAGCCTTCACTGAGTTTGTTCCCTTCCCTGACCAACACACATACACACACACACACATTCAGCTTTCTTTATTTGTAAGCTCTTTGGACTTTGTTCTCTCCTTTGACCCCACGACCAGCTAGTGAGCCCCAGGCTCTGGGGGACCTTCTCTGTGTCCACTCCTCAGTACAGAGCGCTTCGCTGACCCCACGCTATGTCATAGGACAGCCAGGAAAAGAGGCCCCAGACACCTGCCCACTTTGGACTTTTCTGCAATTATATTATAAAACTCTAGAGGGCATTGAAGGAAAATAGCACTCAATACAACCAAATTCCAAAGTACTATAGCAATAGCAGTCCTAGTATACTATTAATGCTCTAGCAATGATGATCATATAGTAATAGTAATGTAATCGTAATCCTAAACGAAAACAGTACTGAAGAGACAAGTTAGTACTAAATTTTGTGGTGACAATATTTTTAAAGCCTTAATCAGATTTTTTCTCTTGTTCCTGTGCACTTTCTACTTTGCACACAATACCTTTCTGTAGGTCATATGCCTATTCAATTGAAATTTTGAAAACAAAGATTTTTTTTTTTACTTGATGGTAAAGCAAGAACATAACAGGGATTTTATAGTTATAAAAAGGACCCAAAACTATTTTGACACATTTGTATGAATATTTTATTTTAATATCAGTGTTATCAGTCAAGACCCTTGGGTGCAAGTGGCAGAAACCTGACTTGAACCAGCTTCTATAAACACAGGAACTGTTTCGCTCAGGAAGGATTGAGGAACCAAACCCTCAAAGGGACAGGAAGGGCACAGCTTGGCCTCAGGGAGAGCTAGAAGCAGGGATTGGAGGCCGCTGCATGAATCTGAGACTGACCCTCCTCATTTGGAGAAGCAAGGATCTAGACGGAAGATGCTAGTCCATCCTAGCCACTCTTGGGAAAAGCAGCAAGTCAATGTGCTGGCTTGAGATGGAAAAATAGATATGTGATCTTGAATAAAATATTATGTTAAAGACGTATTTATAGAAGGAACCCTAAAATTATAATTAAAACATCTTGTAAATTTACATGTATCAGAGAGCCCACCAATGCTTCAATGTCCCTAGTTGTGAGTTGAGAGTAATGAATTGCCTCAAGCTAATTAATGCATGTGATATTGTTTGAAACAAAAACATTATGGAAAATACAGGTTATAACCTGTGGTATTTTTTCTTGTCTTTTTCTTTGTAGGAGGTGTCAGTGAAAAAAAAGGTCCAGAATGATTACTAACCTATGACTCCCAACAGTATGACAGGTATCTACTTTTTAAAATTTTCTTTGCATGTCTCCATTTTTGTGCCACCTAGAGAGAAATAGAGGGTTTCTAAAAGACCAACCTCAGAGTCTTAGCAACAATTATTTCCAGTATTACTAAATGCAGATACACCCTGTGAATACATCCCGACAAATGAGCTTTCATCTTCTTCAGAAACAATGAGATGCATCATCACCAGAAACCTATGGTGAAGAAATGATAATTCACAGTAAAAGGCTAGTTTTTAGCTATCCTGAGATAACCCTTGCACACTAGACACGTTGACTCTTTACATTCACTTAGATCAATATAATAAATGGCTCTACACACTTAATGACTAGAGTCCAGGCACCTTCCTCCGAATGGGCTGTTATTCCATTTAGCAGTAGAGTCAGAACAGAATATGGTTAGATTACAGCAGCTAAATGAGGTAGAAACTCTTAGCAAGGGACAAAGGAGACAGAATGACCACCAAGGAAGATAAGGTTGCAATAGCATGAATTCTTTGTGCAACACAGAGAGCAGGGGTTGCAAACTCAAAGGCCCCAGGGGCCAGGCAAATAACACTAATGTCAGAAACAGGTTGGGTGTAAGGGAAAACACCACACAAAACTGGAATGCTCAGGTTCTCTCTGAAGAACAGCCATTCCCCCAGTGTAGGTGATCACTGACAAGTAGGGATGAAGCCCAGAATGCCCAGAGATTTCAAATTTTCAAAAGAAGTTGGAAATCCAGATTTTAAATGAAATATTCCCCCTCACAAATATTAGCAACTAACTCATAAAAATGTCAAAGACTCATGGGCCCATTAAAATACGTCTGCTGACTAGAATGAACCAGGGGCCATCAGTTTACAATCTCTGCTACCTAGCTTCCAGCATAGCACCAAGCCCGTCCCCATTCCTGTGGTTCCCGTGACAGCGGGGCAGACACCCATAGACCTCTGTGTGTCATGGGTACAGCTTGACCTTTGATAATCCATTCATGTCATGACAGACTAAACATGCAGGACAATTTCTCCAAGAATCCATTCCCCTGTAGACCTCAGAAACTGAAGTGACATAAAGCTCCACTCAGCCTTCTGCAAGTTTGGAAGCCTCCCGAGGACCATACACTGCCTCTCTCATCATCACTGCCCTGCCCTTCTACCCACCCACACTGGAACTCTCGGTGCAGCCCAAAAGATGGAGTGCCGGAACAAACCAGAATGATTCACACCAAGAAGTGAGGGCCTCAGAGCCACATCTCATCATTTCCTCCTATTTTTACTCATGAACAGGCATCAAAACATACCCACCCCCTTTCTATTGTGCTGCCACCCCAGCCAAAATCCTCTCCCACTTAAGTCTCACCCATTCTATGTCATAAACCTGGTTGTTCTGTGGAAAATTGGTACAGATCAAGCTTAGCTAACTCCTTCATGTCTACCGAAGAGTGGGCATCTCAGCTGGAAGGAATGAAGTATAAGTCTCTGCAGGTGCAGGCCCGTGAGAGCACAGATTTCAGACAGCAGCAGGCCACCCTGCAAAACCTAGAGAAAGTGCCCCCCGCCCTGATACGGAATGGTGTGGGATCAAGCGCAGCACAGGGGTGGCCCTATACTCCATGATCATCCGCTCACTAGAAAAAGGCCTCCAAAGATACAATCTCAAAGAACATGCCCATCTGAGATGGACCAAAGTGTCAAAGCTTGGTGTAAAAGTGGGTAACACCATTAGTTTCTCTTGCCCTGGGGTTGGTTCCAGATAGAGTGCAGAAGTGAGCATCCATCCCAGGTTCCTATAGAACAGGGGTCAGCAGTTTTTTTTAATGAGCCATAAAGATCTCTGGCATTGCCAACTACTCAGATCTGCCCCAGTGGCAGGAAAAGCCATGGACTGCACACAGACAAATGGGTTGTGTGTGTTTTAACAAAACTTTATTTACAAAACAGGCAGCAGGCCAGCTTGCACCCAAGGACTGTAGTTTGTGGACCCCTGGTCTAGAGTCCAAGGTGTCCAGACCATCATATTGCTGAGTAGAACGCCCAAGGCCAAGTCAGCTCATCTCCAGGACTGAGCTAAGAATCCAGGCTTAGTCCAAGACAATTCTAAACCGAGCCAGCTTTTCAGCTGATTTTGTAGAAGCCAAGATCCTTCCTTGCATACTGAGCTGGAACTGCAGGTGCCTCCCAGTGGAGGAGGGAGTTTTTGCTTCCCAGCATTTGCTTCCTAGTGTAGAAACTAACAGTAGTTTGCTATTTGCAAAAGAAATCTCTTCCATACACACATAATGCTCAGTGCATGTTAATGGACTCAGCTGAGAAAATTATTACGTTAGACTCCCTTGTTTGTGGATGAAATAAAACAGTATCCTTTTCCCTCTCTCTTTTGTTGTGATCTCAGGCTTTGTGTTTATTTTAAGACCTAAAGAGCTTCTTTATTATCGAAGACCATAATAAAGTTGTAAGCCATCGGAACTAAGTGCTTGCTTTAGGAGCATAATTTAAAGGGCAAATATGCGTATTTTCTTCTTTGAAAAACATAATAGGTAATATTACTGTTATGCAATACCAGCTATCAATTAGCCTTTATGAAAATAAAACCATTCTTTAAATGAACAAGAACATTTTTCCCTAAAATGTTTTCCTAAAAGCTATTTTCCTAAAAGCAAGCAGACCAGCATTATCAGATAAGAGCCACGTTGTTGGTATGCAGTCTCTTTCAGCCAGAATGCTTAATAAATTTGTATGTTTTGGATTAACTCAAATGGAAATTTGGTTATCTTTCTGGGGTTATTTAATATCAGCTACAATGGAGTCAGGTCTTGCTAAAATTTTCTTGTTGCTTTACTCTACCTAGTTTGAAATTAGGACTGTATGAAATCACTCATTGAAAAATACTGATTCTTAATGGAGAAAGTAAGAAAGTGTCTTAATATGGTATTTTATTAATCTGGAATTAAGCACTGCTTCCTAAGTAATCTGAGGGGAATTCTGCTAACATTTATGGCATTATAATGAGCTCAGTTTTGCATAAAACCATGATTCACTGCATAGGGGGGTTTGTTCCAAGATATGAATACCTAAAAGTTCAAATATGAAAGTTAGAGGCTTTTGGCCTTGGTGGAAAATAAAACTAAGAATTCAGACTTCTCCACATGTGCCTGAAGAAGCAGAAACAAGGATCTGTTGTTTGCACTGAAACTGGCTTTATGAAATTAGGATATGATATGAAATTAGCACAGTATTTGATGTTACCATCCAGCTGGGCCTCCGTCACTTAAAGTCAAAGTCTTATGAATCCTTCCATGTGAATAAAATATCCCCCAGTCAGTTGTTTAAACTGTCCCTCTTCTTCGTGGTCTGCTTGTCCATTTAACTTCCCTGTTGTGATGTTTACCTTTTTCTTTTTCTTTCTCAAGCTATTATTATTGAGTGTATCGCAGGCACCAGGAGAAGGATATTAGCAAGGATATGATCGCTTTCAGTTGTTGACCCAAGGTTTCCACTGTAGGATCGTCAGATTGCTTGCTTGTTTGGGGTCACTTGTCAAGCAAAAGGAAGAATTACATAAGTTTTTTAAAAATTTACATTTCTCCAAAAAAAAAGAAAAGTACATTTCTCATTAATTATGAGGTTGAAATTTTTTTTACATGTGTACTGACCACTGTATTTCTTCATCTATCACTCACTTGTTCATATTTATTGTCCACCTGTTCATCCACTCATTGTGGATTTTATATTTTTCTCATTATGTAGAGAAGCAATTTATTACATATAAGCCATTTTATATATTAAAGATAATAATTGAGGACATCACCTAATCTATGAATTCCTTATTTTTTTAACATTTTCTGTATTTGAGAGAGAGAGAGAGAGCATGAGTTGGGGGGTGGCAGAGGAAGAGGGAGAAGCAGACTCCTCGCTGAGCAGGGAGCCCGATGTGGGGCTCAGTCCCAGGACCCTAAGATCATGACCTGAGCCAAAGGCAGATGCTTAACCGACTGAGCCACCCAGTTGCCCCACTATGAATTCCTTATTAAATGAGAAAGGGAGACCAGTTCATCTCTTGTTTTCCTTCAACTTTTACAATTAGATTATCACTTCACATTCAAACACATATAAATCACGTTTTCATAAAGTAGGGCATCGGTGTATTGATGGTTGGATGTCAAGAAAAAGGGACCCTGGAGCACCATGTTTTCTGTTTCTAAGACTATCTTCATGAACAATTTTTCAGAGTTAAACAAAACACTTAGGCTGGGAAAACACTATTTTATTATAAGCCCACATCACTCTTCAGAGATGGCTCTCCAAGTGTTTGTTAGGCTTTCCAGATGCTCCTTATACCTTTTCATTCCTTCAGAAAGAGAAGCACAGTTGCATTTATGTCCTGCTGACCTAAGTAGCTCATCTTTTCATGGATCAGGAGGTTGTTGACAGCAAAATAATGACACCATTCAAAGACAACTAATGAACAGTGTATATATTATGAACATTTCCCATTGTCAATAAATACTCTTCTGAACTTGGATCTTGGTCATGGCTACTTAGTAATCCATCATTTACTGATACAGTCTCTGTTAGACTTTTAATATAATGTTATTTAAGTCATATTGGAATGAACTGCATTGTACATGATTTCACACCTCTGTTTCCTCAGGATAAAGCTCTACTAAGTAAAAAGGAATACTAAATTAAAGGGACTGAACATCTTTAAAAACCTTTCCTGTTGCCAGACTATAACCAGATTATTAGATCAGCTGAGATACCCATCAAGAGGACAGCATTCATTTAATCATAAATCCTCCAGATTTGGAGCTTTTTGGTAGTTAATTCTTGAGGCCATTTCTTAGACAAAATTTTATCACAGCTTTCCACAACTTTATATTTTTCTTACTGACAATGAATTTGACTACAGACACAAACACACACACACACACACACACACATACACACACACACTGGCCACTTAAAGGTCTTCCCTGTTCCATTAACTTTTCTGTTGTGCCACTTATCT